TTGTTGTTGTTGTTGTTGTTGATGATGATGATAATGATGATAGCATGTGTGCATGTCTTGGTATGAATTCCTACTCTTGGTATCCCTTTTGTCTGGGAAGGCGTTAATTCCAGACTGCCTTTTCCTGGGCAGGAAAGAGGGAATGTAATTCTCTAAACATAGGTGGCTCAGTGGCTAAGACACTAGGCTTGTCGATCAGAAAAGGCGGCAGTTCAGCGGTTCGAATCCCCAGCGCTGCGTAACGGGGGGAGCTCCCGTGACTTGTCCCAGCTTCTGCCAACCTAGCAGTTCGAAAGCACGTTAAAAAATGCAAGTAGAAAAATAGGAACCCCCCCCCTTTGGTGGGAAGGGAACAGCGTTCCGTGCGCCTTCGGCATTTACACATGCCGGCCACATGACCATGGAGACGTCTTCGGACAGCGCTGGCTCTTTGGCTTTGAAATGGAGATGAGCACCGTCCCCTAGGAAAGACATTCCCTGAAGAGTTTACTTCAATTTCTACATCAGGAGAATTAATATTTCCGGTCTATCTTCTATTAGTCAGGCCTCTTAGTATCACTGCCCCACCGCGGGCTCATACCATCAAAGGTCTCGCCTTCACTCTTGCGAAAGGAATGTGAAGGAGACCCCCAAGATCTGTTGTGGAGAAAGGACAGAGGACACCAGGTGACAATGAGACACAGTGAAGGTTATCGATAGATAATGACCATTCCCTGATCAATGATTAACTAGTGGCCGGTTGCCTCACCATACATCTGATAAGGCTTGAAGGACTCAAGACTTAAAAACAGGCTAAGGTGGTCCTCCTCTTACAAAAATTGAAGATGGAGAGCAGAGGTCTCCAAACTGGGCAACTTTAAGACTTGTGGACTTCAACTCCACGCTGCCTGAGGGATTCTGGGAGTTGAAGTCCACATGCCTTAAGGTTGCCCACTTTGGAGACCCTTGTTCTAGAGTAAACCCAGAGCCTCTCCTTAACACTCATTTGATTTTTCAGGCACGGTTGCCTTAGAAGAAGATGCTCAGATCCTGAAGGTGATTGAGGCCTACTGCGCAGGAGCGAGTTTACAGCAGAATGTCACTTCAGGTGAGTGTTTTGAAGCAATGGTGGGACTCAAATAATTTAACCAAGGGTGAAATTCAGCAGGTTCTGACAGGTTCTGGAGAACTGGTAGCGGAAATTTTGAGTAGTTCAGAGAACCGGTAGCGGAAATTTTGAGTAGTTCAGAGAACCGGTAGCGGAACTTTTGAANGAGGGAGTCAAACTATTTTCTAAGGCACCTAAGGGTAGAACAAGAAGCAATGGGTAGGAAACTAATCAAACAGAGAAGGAACTGAGGAGAAATTTCCTGACAGTTAGAACAATTAATCACTGGAAGTCTTTAAGAAGATGTTGGATAGCCATTTGTCTGAAACGGTATAGGGTTTCCTGCCTAGGCAGGGGGTTGGACTAGAAGACCTCGGAGGTCCCTTCCAACTCTGCTATTGTATTGTAAATAAATTTTTTGGGTTGGTAAGATTTAAACCAAATTCCAAGCTGAATCTATCTATCAACCTGCACTGAATGTAGAGATTCTTGATTGATTTTTTTTTTAAATTAAGAGACATATTTCATCTGTATAGATGAACATACATAAAATAAACATACAAAACATACATCAAATAAACTTTCTATTTCACAAACGTGGGTACATTTTTAAAAAAACCATGTGTATAGTTTAACATTCTGTTTATGGAACTAAAGAAAATCTTGTTTGGAAAACAGCCAATTTCGTTGGGTAGTAGAGGACAATTTAACATCTCCCTGTTGTCATCTTCCATTCTAAATCATTCTCCCACACTAACAGCTATTTGTACCAGAAGGGTGAAACCTAGTTCTAGATGGTTTCTTCTGCTTTGGAATCCTTCCCACCTCCTCTAAGGCTTTTATTAATCCTAGCTAAAGCATGTCTTCAATCAATGCTACTAACAGCTTTACCCTGAAGCTTGTGGCATTTTCATTCATTACATTTAGCACTGTAAATATTGAGGATTTTGTAATCTAAAGTCCTTGGAATTTATTTCCATTCCTGAACAATGCGACAGGGAGGTGAACAACCCCAGTTAGGTGAGATTACAGTTACATAAAAGGAGAGCAATTGAAATTTGAAAAACTGAAGGAAAAGAGGCAAGGTAATTGTTAATCTTTTCTAGGAAATATCAGCACTGCTAACCTACAGTCATAAAATGTAAACTTTATATTGGACAACAAAAACAGAGTCCATTCTAAATTATATGGTTACACAATGCACAATAATATATATTTTGACAATTTATATATCTTCAGTTGTTTCCTAGAATCCTCCATTGCTGAAAATGTGTTTTAATATTTATATATTTGAAAAAGGCATATATAATTCAGTTTTTGAAGATGCTCTCTATATTGTTCGTTCTGAAATGTATCCATCTAATTGCTTAGACTGATGACATGATTATTCTACTGAAATATTTTCTTCATGGAATTTTAAGCAGCCAATAGTTTTCAGAAATAATTTTTTTTAAAGAATTGTCTTAGTGGAATGTCTTTAAGAGAATGTATTTATTTTCAAATAGAGAAGGCTATTTTACAGTCTGTAAGTACAAAGCTGGGCTATTCATTTTTGGAATGTAACATGACTTTTTACCAGTACTTAAAACAGATTTATTGTTTTTATATTTTTCATTTGCAGAAATGTTTGAAATATGCTGATAATGTACTTTCAGATTATGTAATTCTTCTTTAATAATAAAATATAAATTTAAAGACACTGATTTTTTGTTAACCTTAGTTTGAAAATAATCTCAATATACATACAAGAGTACATCAATATGGATAGCTGTAGTGTTTTCTCAACTGTTTTGGAAGGCACCTTAAGGTATGGCCTCAACTGTTTATTTGAGGGATACACTCGCTTCACTTTTGAATCTTCCAACCCATCCTTCCCCACCACCACCACAAAACAACATAAGCAAGGAGACAATTATAGGTAAAGGTTCCCCTCTTTGGGGATTTGATTATTGAAACTGAGGGAAGCAATTATAGTACAATATGTTAATTCTTTTGCAAAAAATGTGGTGGGACAGTGGTTATAATGCAGTACTGCAGGCTACTTCTGCTGACCGCTAGCTGCCAAGGCCTTCCATCCTTCCGAGGTCCGTAAAATGAGGACCTAGATTGTTGGGGGCAATATGCTGACTCTAAACGCTTAGAGGCCTGTAAAGCATTGCAAAGCAATATATAAATCTAAGTGCCATTGCTATTAAAGGTAAAGGTTCCCCTACATATGTGCTAGTTGTTCCTGACTCTACGGGGTGGTGCTCATCTCCATTTCAAAGCTGAAGAGCCAGTGCTGTCGAAGAGGCCTCTGTAGTCATGTGGCCGGCATGACTAAATGCCAAAGGCACACAGAACGCTGTTACCTTCCCACCAGTGGTGGGTTTCAAAATTTTTAGAACCTCTTCTGTAGGTGTGGCCTGCTTTGTGGGAGTGGCTTGCTGGCCATG